TGATAAATCGGTTATTCGAATATATAAAACTTTTCTTCCAAACTGGTCGATCGATATCGATGGATAGAATCGATTTTTCAATGATGCTGTCGAAGGCTATTCACCAATTATCGCCATTTTCCTTATTTCTAAAAGTTTGCCTTCGTTAATCCAATTATCCATATCTCGCTACATTTTGTTATAATAAATATCGATATCGGTTGATAAATCGGTTATTCGAATATATAAAACTTTTTTTCCAAACTGGTCGATCAATATCGATGGATAGAATCGATTTTACGACGGTGCTGTCAAATCCAATTCACCGATCTTTAAAATCTTTAAAATCTTGCTTCTACCTTCATTAATCATTAATCGTTATTTTATAATATCGGCTGATAAATCGGTTATTCGAACAATATTTGACTTTTTTTCGATCGATATCGATGGATAGAATCGATTTTTTAACGGTGCTATTCAATTATCGCCGATCGAATATCGGTTGATAAATCGGTTATTTGAACGAATATATGACTATTCTTTTAAACTGATCGATCGGTATCGATGGCATGGATAGAATCGATTTTTCGACGGTACTGCCAAATCATTCACCGATTACCGCCATTTTTCTTCATCTCTAAAATCTTGCCTTCGTTAATCCAATTATCCATATCTCGCTACATTTTGTTATAATAGATATCGATATCGGTTGATAAATCGGTTATTCGAACAATATATGACTTTTTTTCCAAATTAGTCGATCGATATCGATGGATGGAATCGATTTTTCGACGGTGCTATCAAATCTCATTCACCGATCTCCATCTTTAAAATCTTTAAAATCTACCTTCATTAACCATTAACATGCATCTCGTTATCTTACAATATCGTTTGATAAATCGGCTATTCGAATATATAAAACTTTCCTCCCAAACTGATCGATTGGTATCGATGGATGAAATCGATTTTTCGACGGTGCTGTCAAATCCCATTCAACGATCTCCATCTTTAAAATTTTTAAAATCTTGCTTCTACCTTTATTAACCATTAACATGCATCTCGTTATCTTACAATATCGGTTGATAAATCGGTTATTCGAATATATAAAACTTTCTTCCCAAAGTGATCGATCGGTATCGATGGCACGGATAGAATCGATTTTCCTAGTTTCGATCGATATCCGTGAAACAAACTCGTTAAAATTTGACGGACCGGTAGCTGGCGAACGAATGGCGAAGATAATAGGTGAATAAGGGTGGTAATGAGGACAGTATATAAGTATTG